ATTATCACCCCAGCTGCTGTCGTCCACGCTTCTTTAACCTACATCATCCATTTGCAGCGAGAATAGTGAACTATTGGTAACACTTGGTAAGTCTGGCAGAGCAGGATTGGGGCGGCGGAAGCATGATTTTATCTGTGGCATTCATAGGACAAGTATCGTTGGATGGGGTTTGATAGGGGCATCGCTTGCCTGGTCCAGCGTCTGCTACATCGGATTGGACTCTGTTCTATGCTGTTTTCAAGATATTTCCTGACAGTAACATCGATATTGTTGATGTATCTCGATCGTGGGCTGTAGGAGGTTCTGTAGAAGAGCTGTCCTTGCTACCAATAGGGCTTTGTTCAACAACGTTGGCGTTTTTGGCATTTATGGAGCCACCTTCGCGGTATACGTTGGGAAATTTAGTTCGGAAACGGTCTCTAAGATCTGTTGCTTTCCTATGCATTAGGTTCAGACGCTTATCCTGCCGAATTAAAGTCCATTGGAATCCGTGAACTGCGTGGCCTTTGAGGAGAGCATCATCCTCTGCGGGTGTGAATGGGCGGCGAGATCGTCTGTTAGATTTAATACTCAAGCAAGGTTCTTCCAGGCCCAGAGAGATGAGAGTCGACTTAGATTTACTGGATAATGATGGGTTAGTTTTAGATGCTGAAACCCTGGACTTCTTGCTTGTCAACTTAGGGTCTGAAGCTAAATTCGACGGCCCATCCATGGATGGAATGGCCGGTGGGGATTTCGGAGGTGATTGACCGACATTGGAATTATGATCAGTGGGCTTCAGGATATTTGCCGTAGAAGCTGCGTCTAGTTCCTGCTTATTCCTGCTAATCTCCGGACCAGGAAGTAGGATTTTAGCTGATGAGCTGGCATCCGGGCCATTTGAGGCGTCTGCAAGGCTAGTTTTAACTTCTTTGATAGTGTTCTGTTCTGAACCATAGGCCCATGGACAGCAGACGCGGAACCTATCCTTCAGATTTGCCGCGGTTCTTTGGTTAAAATGGAGTTCAGGTTGGGCAAGTATAGCTGTCCAATTCCCAACCCCACATTTCACCACCCCTCGCAATAAATCTCTTGTCTCTTCTTCTGTCCATTTTCGTAACTTTTTCCTTGGTCGGGTTTTGGGTTGGGGAGACAGATACTCTTTGTCGATCTCCTCTATAGTTTCTTTCGAAACATGTTCTGGGAGAGTAAGATGGCTTCCATCCTCACCGAAGGATTCCTCGATATCTTCAACACTTTCTTCAATACCAAGTTCAATAATATCATTAATTCGTCTGCCTCTTCTTTCCTTAGTCGCGCCTCCAGGTGGGATACCTGGCGGGTCTGAAGTATCTCGTGTTGGTCGTGTCAGGATCGTGGGAGTAGCATTGGGTTCTATGGGAGGGAATAAAGCAGCATTTGGTGGAGGTTCATTTAAGCCATTTAATATTGTCAAAGGCCCAAAAGGAGGACGCTTTGGAATTTCCTTCTGGTTTTTGGGAATAGGAAGCTGAAGATGTTCTCCAAAAACATCGCCGTTCAGATCAATTCGGCGATGTTTTCGTGGAATATCTTCGTCGAAAGACGCATAGGGTAACTTCTCAATAGCACGGAGATTAATGAACGTCGGAAGAATCCTCTTTGGAGGAGGGTCAGAGCTTGATGCTTTCCCGAAAGTTGTATCAAAGGCTGAATTAGTCCTGGCCGCATGCAAAAAATCCTTAAGTGTCGGAAGCTTAGCAGGCGGATTTCCTCCAATAAGAGAAGTTTTCGAAATGCTGGTAGTTTCTCTCGTCCCTCCTGCATTAGGCTCGAGTGGAGAGGGGACTTTGAGAGAGCGGGAAGGGAGAGGATCCCGGAGCGGCGGGATTCGTAGAGCGTTGGGCTGTGGAAAGTCACGAAGCTGACTGAAGGGATCATCGGCTATAGGGGTCGTATACATTCCCGTCAGCGGGTCCATCGTCTCGTCCAACAAGACCCTCCGCCATTGACTGTGAAGCCATTTGTTCACAACAGCGGTCGTCAGTCGTATATCAAGGAAACTGCCTGGTTTCGCGCAAACGGTTGGAACCTTGTCAAAGGGAAATCATATATGATTACGTGGTTATCATCTGCTTAGTCATGGGTTGCACACCGCCAACCTCCGACAACGATGTCGATTTCATCAACGACCGAAATTCGATATATTGCTATCTTTGATCAATTGTTCCAGGGCTTCGGATCGTTTATAACATCAGACATTTGAAGAACCCTCCAAATCTCAATTACGGCGACTCTGTATCCGGCGCTACAACATCCAATATGGCGTTCGGAATGACCACAATACTCCCACTATGGCCTCATATTTTGTTCGCGATTTTGGAGCCAATCTCAGTGTATACTTTTCACCTTTATCTGCCGCTGATTGCGGGGAAAGTAACTAACTTGGGATAGCGTTGCTGGCTGTTACTTTGCAATCTTTAACACCACCAATTTCGTCGCTGGTCAAACCCCGAAAGCCTCATCGCCCACAGAACTGTCGCTCAGTACTCAAGCAATCGCCTACCAACTTGGGAATACATTTTTGCTATTGGCGACGGTAGGTGTTGGTGTTTTGTACTCGACGTCGGAGCCAAAAGTGGTCAGAAATTACTTGATCGTGCTGGCAATCGCAGACCTGGGGCACATCTTCTCCGTGTATTGGTGTATCGGATTCCATGACTTGATCAACGTGTGGGAGTGGAATGATCTACTGTGGGGAAATGTCGGAGCCTCTGGGATTCTCTTTGTGAATCGCATTGCATATTTACTTGGCGCTTTTGGGCATGCCACATCACCCAATGGCACAAAAAAGACCCAGTAGGTGGGGGATTCCAGACACATTGCGGGCCAAACTCTCTGCCCACTCAGACAGCCCTCGTTTCGGGGTTCTTTGTTCTTGAATTTCTCATTCCATCTTGGTGCAGCGCTCAAAAGCCACCTAATCACGCTTTCTGCCCCATTTTATCTATCGCTTGTGAAGGCTTTTCTCGATTTTTCTATCGCCTTGTTCATGTCGGCGTGATTGATTGACTATATTCGCCCTGACCCTTATTCCGGCTTGGGTATACGAGATTAAGGTAGCGAGAAGGCAACTGAATGGCTGTAACGTAAACTGTACATATACTCTGCGTCTATGGCTCTGGAAGCTGCAGCCGCAGCCAAACCCATTTTTCAAAATAAGTGGGTCTTCAAACAGTCATTTTTATTCTTGGGGAATAAGTGGCAACTGTTCATCTGTTCCTCGACAGCAATATGGGCTGGGCCGTCGAAGGATACAATCGTTAGTCCCTCATCTAGAGGATCCGTTGTTGTACGGGACTTGTTTGGTCTGGATACTTGCAAAGACTATTCCACTACTATTCCGTCCAGAGCGCTGACGGGAATCAAGGGCTTCTTCTATGCTTCCACTGATCAACTACAGGAGCAGCTATTTCCACTCCGCGTGGATAATACAAATGCGTCCATGAGCAAATATCAGTCACTCGCTTGAGGGAAAAAGGAAGGGGATAAGAATTCCGGGGAGTGTAATTCCAGATGCTCCAGTGTTCTGTCGAAATGTGGGAAGTTACCGTAGCAAAAATTTTTTTTTTTTTTTTTTTTTTTTTTTTTTTTTTTTTTTTTTTTTCAAGGGTGAACCAAGCGGTCTGATCAAGACAGCGCTTTCTCATGCACGTCGAGCTGGAGGCGGTAAGCAATCATCGAGTAAAGCCGTGTCTGCATTCGTGTACCTTGTCTCTGAAGTAAACCAGAAGAGCAATGTTTTGCTCTCTCGCCGAAAGAGCCAATCGAGAAACCCAGAAGCAACAAATACCGGTCTGGGTCTCAGAGAAGGGCTTGAGCTCCCACCACTTATTCTTGGTCTCGCAAGGCAGAAGGCTCCAACCAAAGTCGATCTCGATACAGTGAGCTCTCCGGGCTCGCCAGCAACAGCAACTAGACAGAAATGCCTGGCTATTAGAAAGCCGATGTCTGCACGATCCTTGCCAATCACCAGAACTTAGATACGTGGTGGAGTCTATAAGCTTCACCAAGAAAATCTGGTTGCTTCTACGAGAAGAGAGCTACTTCCAATATCGCCTTGGGCAAACTAAGGTCTGCATTCAGCAATCGAGAATTCCTCATGTTTTTTTGGCTTTACAAAGTTTCTTGAGGGCCGAAATATGAGGGCCGAAATATTTAATTAGGTACTAGTCTCCCCGCAGCTGTTAGCTCAATTATATTGTTGCATGTTTTCATTACATTCCTATTGCTGAACTCGTTTCTTCGCAATTTCTGCGCCACTTTAAGCAAAGATGCAAGGCCATAATACCACCAGGGGCACCTCTTTCATGGGGGGTGGATGGTGTAGTGGTAAGCGCTGTTCATGGAATGCTTTCTCAAGTAGGCACTTGGTGTTGGGGCCACCTCTGCTGAGACAAGAAGGTAGTGAGTTCTATTGGTAACTGCCACTGCAGGGTGGAGCAATGTTCAACACTATGTATATAGTCTAGATGGATTCAGTATAGTGTGGGATTCTAAGGTGTTGTAATTCTTACATGTCTATGGAGTATAGAGTAGTCCAAGTGACAAGGGACTGCTTAGTATTGTGTGAGAAATTGTGGGGCAAGGCCCCCCTTGAGGGCTAGATCCAGAATGGTATAGTGAAGTCTCTCCATCAAGAATGACTCAGTTATGAATAGAGAAATGTAAATAGAGAGTAGCTGAACATAAGGGTAGGCTAGTGAGGTGAAGGCTGTCATAGTCTCAGACTGCATATGGCCTTAGAAAAAATATGAAGAACAACAACAACAACAACCTCTTTCAAGAACAACAGATCATGCACTGCAGGTTTGTGACTGAAGCTGCAGACTCCATGAACAGTTAAGATCGGGCTGTGAAGTGAGGCCTTGTCCATTAATTGTTTGATAATTCAAACAATTCCAGAGCCATTGTAGGAATATGATGAACACTGCTAATATATTGTTCAGCAAATTTAGCGACTGCGTTTTGTGTCTTTTGTTCCTGGCCAGGCACGAAGGTGGAATGCGCCTTGTTTCAGTTTGACTTTGCACACGGATGAGGATCCTCGGAATGACATCATTGCCTACGATTTATTTATGTTTATGGTCAATGAAAGATGAAACATTGAATATTCTTATTATCGTGTCATGAGCAAATCCGCGAGGTGTCCTGAGAATTTCTGGTGACATTTTTGCTCTTGACTGCCATATCATGGAGAGCAGCTACAGTTGACGTGGAAGGCGAGCGGCGCTTTTGGTAGGCTAGGGGTGAGGGAGTGCCGGAGAGCAGCAACGAAAATAACGGCCACGCCTGTGGTTGCGTCGAATCTTAGACTAGGGTCATATCCCGAATTGTGGATTTGCTAGCTAGTGGAAGGGATCAGAACTTTCGACCAGCAGCCAGCAATATCCCGAAGGGATTTGCAAATCACTTGGCTATTGTTTTTGATCATGAAAATCAGTCTGAACAACTCGAATTTATGTGCGAGTGGGGTTTTGTATGTATAGGACGGTATGAACGTACCATTGTTACGCGCCCCACAATTCGTCTTCAAGACTCCAAACGAGAGTACTTCATGCCGCGTAGCCTTGTTTAGCCGTGAAAGGGAGAATGGCAGTTGTTAAGTCATACACTATTTTCATTGCACTATTCCCACTACTTGGATGTCGACGGTTTTTGACTGGTGCACGAACGATCATGCTAAAATGGCGGAGATTCATGATTGACTTGTAGAATTGTCGTTTGCAGATAGACCCAAGCATAGTTTTGGGTCCTCTGAAGTTGCTTGTGTCAGAGTTGTTGCATAACTATTAACGTTGCAAATAACAACAATTGCCGATAATATTTTCCATAGGTTTACGAGCGATGGATTGTGCCTCACATGGCTCGACAGATCAAGTGGTTTCGAACTAACAAAGTGAACTCGAGACGACTCCACTCGGACACTTTTCGCGCTACGGGCCAGCTCCAGCGACGCGGAAATTTGGCGGGGTTCCCCGCTACTGCGTACCCTGACGTAGTGTTCCGTGTGTGCGGTACGGGCCCCTTACCATCTCGAATGGGACTGTCCGAATAAG